GTGATATCTTGTTAGAAATATAATTAAGTCTAGAATAGCATACTAAAAGATGAGAAGTGCGCGAAAAACGGATTTCCCGCAGTAACCAGAATACAGTACCATGTTCGGATAGTTAAAAAGCGTAAAAGTGAGATTTTGGCTAAGTGGGTTTATGGGAACCCCTTAGTGACTTGAGAGGAGTACTATATGATATCTACACAGTTTATATTATTATTCCGCAATGAGTTTTCAGTTACGGTCACAATTTTTATTCATTACGCTTTATTATTATTTTAAATGCTCGCGTAATGAAAAGGAAAAAAGTTTACTCGCACTTTTATAAATAAATTGTTGTGATTGTAACTGCACTTAATATCATAATCAATGTTAACAATACCGGTGTACAATGAGTTGTTACACTCCATACTTTGGTGTTCTCTGTATCACAGCTCGAACTCTCGAAACGATCTTTTATGCATCAAAACACAAACAGATCTCTCTAGGTTCTGGTATACCTTCCAAGCTATCTCTCGAGGAGGAAGGGAAAGTGTGTGAGCACTTTTCATTTCTGAGCTTACCTCTTCTATTCAAAGGACCTAGGAGGCTGATGTCTTAAGTGGTAATATTTATATGGGTTCCAAGAAATCCTAGCCCTACGCTCATTGGGCTCTAGGTTTCTTAGGCTCTTCTCATACTCTTATCCTAGTTGGGCTTAATTAAAAGAGCACAAACCCAACAATCTCCCACTTGATCTTTTGAGTACAAACTTGAGTCCAAAATCTAAGACCATGTGACCCAATAGTCATCATTAATTGAAAACCACCTCTTCCCTTGTCTCAAACTAGCCTGGGGTTTAGGGTTTATGGTTTAGTTTTCAGTGTTAAATATGCATCATCCCTTTGTAGAATGTCGATAATTGATTGATGACCTTTCTGTTACTCAATCAATTATTTACTCAGTCAATGTTGATAGTTTCTCTAATAGATTACATGCACTGTAGTGTCTTCAATATTCAAGTACCAAAACATATCAAGGGAACATATCCTACAAATTCCATGTTGTTTATCTCATAAATACCGGTAATAAATCATGGCTCCTGATAATTAACAAATGATTATCTAATTCGGTGCTACTACACTAAAAGCCCAAAATTGAACTCCAAGATTAATAACACTTATATAACATGAATATGCATCGTCCCTTTGTAGAATGTCGATAATTGGTTGATGACCTTTCTGTTACTCAATCAATTATTTACTCAATCAATGTCGATAGTTTCTCTAATAGATTACATGCACTGCAGTGTCTTCAATATTCAAGTACCGAAACATGTCAAAGGGACATATCCTACAAATTCCATGTTGTTTATCTCATAAATACCGATAATAAAATAATCCCACTTCCAAAATACAGAGTTATTGACAGTCAATAGATCGAGTCTCACTTGTTGGTAAATCAAAGAATGAAAATTATTTGATTATCTATTTAACACTGAAAACTAGATCGAGCCTCACTTGTTGGTAGGGCCTTTTTTAGCTTTAACTCTAAAAGGCCTATAATTTAGCAGGCACTGGGCAGGATTAGGGCGTGCCCGCGGGCCAATTTTTTTCTTTCATCAAATTTTTTATTATTTAGAAAACTAAAAATTATATAAATTTAAATATTTATAAATATAAAATAAATTATAAACATAATATAAGTACAGATTGTTGCGAATTTGATGGAGAATTTAATAGAAAGTGAAATATGAAAGAAAGGAAAATGAAGTGTATAAAGAAAATAAAAGGAAGAATAAGATAAAACAAGTATGAGCTCTTAAAGGTAAGAAAATATTATTATATTCTGAAATCACCAAATACCACTTTTTCCATCTAAGATATGTTCTTATATATGACTCTAAACATAATTAGGAGATTAATTATAATTCAACACACCATTAGTGTGATGGTTGTAGAATACATCAAAGGTCATGAAAAATAAAAAGTTACATGTTATGAACTATGTAAAAAGTCATCCAAAATATTTTACAATACTCCCCCTTGAATGAATTCTACAGTTCAACACAACATCAATATGATGGTTATACAATACATCAAAGGTCATGAAAAATAAAGAGTCAAATGTTATGAACCATGTGAAAGGTCATCCATAATCCATGTGAAAGATCATCCATAATATTTTATAATACACCCCCTTGAATGTATGTTACAATTCAACACACCATTAGTGTGATGGTTATAGAATATATCAAAAGTCATGAAAAACAAAGAGTCATATGTTATAAACTATGTGAAAGGTCATCTATAATATTTTACAACAAAAATGAATTTTTCAGTAGTGATATGTTTCAACAGAGAATTTCATCTGTGCATTAATAAAAATAAGATTATCTATTAACATCTAAGCATGTTATATATCTAAATTTGCATTGAAACATATTGTATACAATACACCTTAGTGATTTTGTGAATAATAATAACTAAAAAGTTTTTTGTAACAATAGTAGTTGAAGAAAGTCAATGTTTTGCTTTCAATTATGTAACATACTCAGAGCAGTTATTCAATATTGGTATTAAGATCATTTTCCATCGTTACTTTTAGTTTTCCACTAGAGTTGTTGTATTCTGTTATGATTCCTAGTGAGAAAATATTTATTTGATGACATCCTTTAATAATGATTTTAGTAAAGGTAGTAGCTAAATTTTTACTTATATTAAAATTTCGTTTACATCTTCACTTGTATATTTATGTACAAGCATTATTTTACTAAATAAAAATTAAATTATAAAAAATTTATAATCTGTATAAAATATATTAAGAAAGTGTTAGATATTTATTTGTTAAAATATTGTTTAATATATTGAATATGATAATTTTTTTTATGAAATTCTAATTTTGGATTGCCCACGAGCTGACCCTAACTCATAGGGCTTTTGGTCCGTGCGAGAATTTATTATTGAAGTTCATTTGGCTTTGCGAACTTTTTGACCCTAACCCACATAGGCTAGAGCTTAATAGGACAGACTGATCTATTTTGATAGCTTTAACCTAAATAATACATTTAAACATTAAGCTAATCCCTTAGTTTTTTTTTTCCATGTTGATGTTAGAAAAATCCCTTAAACTGGGTTAATGTAGCTAAGATAATTAATTTTCTAAATTGTAATCTAAAGTTTAAGTTTAATTTAAAATAGCTAAGTCAGGCTGTAGGCCTCTTAGGTCAACCTGACTCATTTATATCCCTACTTATCTTAATACTAGGGGTGGCAATTTCTGACACGACCCGCTAACCCGACCCGGACCCGACACGAAATTTTCGTGTTTGGGTCAACCCGTTCACTGTTCGGGTCATGTTCGGGTTCAAGAAAAATGACACGAAAAAATTCGTGTCGGGTTCGGGTCAACCCGTTAACCCGCTCTGACCCGCAAATCGTTTTTATATAAGGTTATTATTGTCATTATAGTGAGTGGTATAAAAGAAATAAGATACACTTAGGGTTTCAAACAACCCTTCTCACTCAGCAGTGGCAGCCGACAACCCTCTCTCGCTCTATTCCAGTTTCAACTCCTCTTTTGAGTTTCACCTCTACAAAAAAGAAGCACCGATGGTTTACTAACTAGCAACCTGTCTGTAAGTCATTTGGTTCTCTTATTGTGACAGAGTTTTTTTCTTTTTGATTCGACTTTATATTCAAAAAATTTGTTATCTCTGTGTGTCACAGTAAATGCTCCGGTGACAAAAGGATTCATCATCTCCTCAACACTTTTCACTATCATCTAGGTTGTTTTCAACACTCTGGTCTCTGAGATTGTCTTATCATTTATCAGGTTCCCCTTTGCTTTTTTTTTTTGATATTTTGTTTTATTTTTATTGTCCATGAAACCTGTTTGGATTTATCTAAAATAAATTTCATGTGTTTGCAAAAAAAATAATAAATAAAATAAATTTAATGTAAAATCACTCTACGATCTGTACTGTATACGGTTGAATGTATGCCTATCCTAAGCATTGGGTCCATGGAAGTAAAGCTCCATAGTTTGAAAAAATTCAACTTAAAAAAGAAAGAAGAAAACGACTCAAGGATTTGAGTGAGGCGAATCTGTTAATCTGTGATGATGAGTCTGTGAATGATGAGTCTATAAACCAACCCTTTTTCATTTATTTAAATCTGAATGGAAGTGAATCTGTGAATGATGAGTCTATAAAATTTCTAATTACGTTTTCCTTTTTAATTTATGTGAAGTACAAAGAATAAATTAAAAAAATTTAAAATAAGAGATATTTAAAATTAGAAAAAAATTACATAATTGTTATTTGAGCTTGGTGGGCTCCTTGACTTGAAAAGGAAATTATTAGATTGATTAATTTGACTTAAAACCTTGGTGGGCTCCTTTACTTTGAAATAGACGTCGAAATTATCTGAAGCAAACTTGTTAGATATACTTGATGGGCTCCTTTACTTTGAAATAAACTTGTTAATTTTTTGATTAATTTGACTTAAAACCTTGGTGGGCTCCTTTACGTTAAACTTTAGTCTTTTGGTTTTAATGTAACAAATTCTTGTTGAAGAATAAAACCTATTGCCTGAAGATTTGAAATTCAATACTATATATAAAAAAAATTCAATTTAGAATGAATTGAAGTTAAATTGGGAATTTATACACACATATATAATATAGTATAATGTAATGTAATATAAAAAGGTAAAAAAATTTGTCCAATAAGTAAAAAAGAAGAAGATAAATGTAAGTATTGGTTAATATGTTGTGGTGATGTCCTATTTATAACATTTAATATGATTAATTTTTTGTGCATATAGATGGATTCCGAATCACAAAACAGCAATCCAAAGGTGGATGAGGAGATTGGTATTTTACTTCCAATTGATGAGGATGAAGGTACAACTGATATTTTACAGCCAGCAAAGAGGAAGAGGAAGTTAATATCACCAGTTTGGACTCACTTTGAACTTATTCAAGCAAAAGAAGAAGGTGGCAAAAGTCAAGCTAAATGTAAGTATTGTGCATCACTATACCTGACTGATAGTAGATATGGGACAGGCAGTTTGAAACGACATCTAGATGCTTGCTCGAAAAGAGATAGCAGAGATGTTGGGCAAATGATGCTTTTAAGTCAAAATAAGAACTCCTTAAGTCTAAGCTCTAAATTTGATCATGAGAAATTTAGGGAGTTGTTGATATATGCAATTATTATGCATGATTTTCCTTTTTAATTTACTGAGTGGCCAGGCATTAGAGCTGTTCTTCTTTATTTACGAGCAGATTTGAATATTGTTACTAGAAATACTATGAAGGCTGATTGCCTTAAATTATATAAAAGGGAGAAAGATAGATTATTGGATATGTTAAAGGATAATTCAAGTAGAGTTTGTTTGACATCTGATTTGTGGACTTCTCTAACCACTGATGGATATATATGTTTGACTGTACATTTTGTTGACAAGAATTGGCATCTGCAAAAAAGAGTTCTGAATTTTGGTTTTATGCCACCTCCCCATAATGGAATCTCATTGGCTGAAAAAATTCACATGTTTTTGAAGGATTGGGGTTTAGAAACGAAGGTTTTTTCAATTACATTGGATAATGCTTCTGCAAATGATGTTTGTGTTCAGTTTTTGAGAGACCAATTATTGGTAGGAGGAGGACTTCTAGGTTATGGTGAGTTCTTTCACTTGAGATGTTGTGCTCATGTATTAAATTTGATAGTTCAGGAAGGATTGAAAGAAGTTGATGAATCTATGGTAAAAGTCAGAGAAAGTATCAAATATGTGAAGGGATCACAAGCAAGGAAACAAAAGTTTTTGGATTGTGTTGGTCATAGTTCTCTTGGGTCTAAAAGAGGTTTGAGGCAAGATGTCCCAACTAGGTGGATTTCTACATTTCTCATGCTTGATAATGCACTTTTTTATAAACGTGCCTTTATGCATCTTGAGCTAAGTGATTCCAATTACAAACATTGTCCATCTAGAGATGAATGGGATAGAATTGAAAAGATCAATAGTTTCTTGTCTGTTTTTTATGATATCACTTGTGTCTTCTCTGGAACCAAGTATCCAACCGCAAACCTCTACTTTCCTTACGTTTTTACAGCACATTTGACATTACAAGATGGATTGAAGAGTGATGATGCCTATATTGTGAATATGGCAGGAAAGTTGTTTACTAAATTTGAGAAATATTGGCATGACTTTAGCTTGATTTTAGCTATAGCTGTTATTTTGGATCCGAGATATAAGCTGAGTTTTGTTGAATCGTGTTATAATAAATTGTATGGTGCTGATGGGAAAAATGAATTAACAAAGGTCAAGAACAAGCTGAATTCTTTGTTTTGTGAGTATGCAATTGATGGAATCAGAAACTATTCAACAAGTTCTTCATCAACCAAGGTTGGAGATGGTGGGACAACACATCAAACCTCATTTTCTAACATATCTAACAATGTTTTGAGTGTAAGTTCATTTGATTATACTTGTCCTGTAAAGTTAATTTGATCTTGTGTATATTTATTAATTTTCGTTGTTTGATTATATCGTTAGGAATTCGATAATTTTAATGAAGTGATTGTGCCCCAAAAGTCACAGCTTGAATTATATTTAGAGGATCAAAGGTTTGACAGAAAAGCTGAGTTAAATGTATTAAAATATTGGGAGGCTAACCAATTTAGGTATCCGGAGATTGCTGCAATGGCGAGAGATATATTTGCGATACCTATTTCTAGTGTTGCTTCTGAAAGTGCTTTTAGTGTTGGGGGAAGAGTGCTTGATCAATACAGAAGTGCACTCAAACCTGATACAATGGAAGCTTTAGTTTGCACTAGAGATTGGCTGTATGGAGAGCAAAGTACTTTTTTGTAGCTTCCATCATTTGATGAGTTAGTTCTCTAATAAATTTTAATTAATTCAATTATTTTACTTTTGCAGAGCATCCAACTGTAGCTTTTGAAGAATTATTAAAAGATGTCATGGAAGAAATTTCTATTCAACAGTCAGCATTTGACCATGCTTCTCAAAGTATTTTCTCAACTGTTCAATGATTACAGATCAAAGAAGGTAATTTTCTGAACTTGGTTGATTGGAAAAATCAATTCATATAATGAATACTGTATAATTATGTTAAAATAATATATCCATTTTGTACAGAGGATGGAAAAGAAAGCACTTGTTAAATCCTTGGCTATAATGGAAGCACTCGTTGATTTTGAATTTTTGGCAGCACCTTTGATGGAGTGGGTATTTGTAATGGAAGACACTTCTTTGCTGATTTTGAATGTTAAAGACTCATGATACAAGTGATATTGAAATTATGGAGAAATGTTTTGCTAAAGTTGTTACATATTTTGTTGGATGTAATTTGTTTTATCGTGTTACTGCTAAACTTGTTTATGCTAACAAGTGATATTGAAATTATGGAGAAATATGTTATTGCCAAACTTGTTTTTGGCAGCACCTTTGATATAATTTTGTTGGATATTTTTTTTATTGTTAGATGTATGTAATACAGGTTTTGTATATGAGCATTCTAAAACTCGTGTCAGGTCGGGTCGTGTCGGGTCGGGTCGAGTCGTGTTAACATGTGTAATAATGGGTCATGGTTATATTTATAAGGTTATTCGTGTCGTGTCGTGTCGTGTCAACCCGTAAAATAAGCGGGTCGTGTTCGGGTTGAGAATTTTGACACGAATAATTAATCGGGTCGTGTTCGGGTTGAGACTTTTCGTGTCGTGTAAAATTCGGGTCGTGTCGTGTCGGGTCGTGTTGACACGAATTGCCACCCCTACTTAATACAAGTCAGAACTATCCAAACTCGCCACAAAAATAATAGCAATTCTAACGTAGCAAAGAACTTAGAAAAGCATAATAGCGTTATATTGAAGTTTGATTTTAATGCAAGGTACCTTTAAAATATTTGTATGCTATCACATTACTTTTTTTATAAACTATGAGTAATCTTGTAGGAGGAAAATTTGTTCGAGGCAGAAATATTTACATTTTGGTGGAACTAGCTCTTCTAAAATTTTGTTTGCATTCATGAAAAAAATTCCCTCAATTTAAGAGAGCTAACCCCACCATTATATATAGGGATTCATGAATATTATGTTACATGATGAAGCTTACATCATGCTACACTCATAATGCAAGTGGGCTCCACAAGTTTTTATCAAAAAACAAAAAATAAGAAAATGGTGGGGCCCACTTGCATTGTGAGTGTAACATGATATAAGCTTCATCATGTAACATAATATTCATAAATCACTTATATATATATATATATATATATATATATATATGAGTTAAGATATTCTAACTATTAGAGTAAAGTATCACTTAAGGGTATATTTGCAATGTCAGCTGAGGGCACTTTTGTAATAGCTCAAATAAGGATCAGTTAGTTTGGAACTGATTCTGTTCAAACAGAATCAGTGACGTGTCATCAATGTATCTCTATAAAGATCAACGTGTACTGTTCCTGATTCATTATGAAAATACATGAAATACTTTAGTTTTTATAGAGATACATTGATGACACGTCACTGATTCTGTTTGAACAGAATCAGTTCCAAACTAACTAATCCTTATTTGAGCTATTACAAAAGTGCCCTCAGCTGACATTACAAATATACCCTTAAGTGATACTTTACTCTAATACTAACTACCAAAAATTCTTACTACTAACATACTACCCATCACATTACCATTGGATCAAAGAGAGAGAATGTTAAAAAGTTTTTGAAAAGAGAGAAAATGTTAATCTAATGATTATTAAATAGGTAGTAAGTTGGTAGTGAAAAATTTTGGTAGTGAGAATATGGCTCCTCTATATATATATGGGTTTAAGTTTTCTTATGTTGTAGGATTGTAGGAGAGAAAAAAAGTAGAGAGAAGTTAAATGTGGGTCTCATATTTTATATTAAAAAAGAAAAGAAAAATTAATTGGTACGGAAAACGAATTTGTGTAGGAAAATGATGTACTCTCATGTGGCATGAGAGTATTATTTCCCTATATATATATATATATATATATATATAATTAGTTAACAATTATATGAAAAGTCAAAATTATTAACTGATATGACCACACATTATTAGTTTACAATTATATGAAAAGTCAAAATTATTAACTGATATGACCGCACATTATTTCACATCATGAACTACACATATAATTTTTTTTACATTAATCATATATTTACATTAAATTCTGTGACTATTTTACCTTGGAGGGTGGAACGACAACCTTTGAAGGCGTCTTTTCAGTTTTCTCGTTATAAAGCAATGAGAAATAGCCGTTAGGGTTGGAAACATTCTCAGTCGGTTCATTTCATAAGACAGTTCAAAATATCCGACCGTTAGAGTACTCACCGTTTCACACACTCCTTGTCCCTCCCTTCTCTGTAAGTAGTAAATGCTCGCTCTCTCTCTCTCTCTCTCATCTCAGTCTCTAACTTATTATCATCAAATTCATAGCAATCAAATCAGAAACCCCAATCGGAAACTGAAAACGACCGTGGCGGAGGAAACCGGAGGCGGCGGCGGTAAGTTCCTCTCTCTACAAACCTTATTTCATTCTCGTTCAAGATTAACCCGTTGCTTTAGGGTCTGCGTGATAATAAGAGTTTTTTTTTTTTTTTTTTAGGTTTATTCAGTTAGAAATTAGAATCGAAGGAAGGTTTCTGCTTGAGTTAGATTCAAAATTCTTCTTTCTCTTCTGATTCGCGTGGAATGTTTTATATAGGATTGGTTGATTTTCTGTAGATAGATAGGCTCAATTTATAGCAAACTCAAGGTAAAGTTTAATTTACTGTTGGATGGTGAAATTGTCATACACAACACCTTTGGTATAACAAAAGTTAAGAGCAAGAGAAGTTACTATAAACTAAAGTCATTACACATCATAAGTTGTATAATGAAGTGATATTATTAATTACTTTCAATAAGGAACTATAACACTATAATGTATTCATTGTTGACATAATATATATCAGGGTTTTATAATTCTCATTTAACATGAGAATTATAATTTTCCTACATACCCTTCGATTTCCGTGCTGACATGGGTCTTACATATAATTTTTTCTAACACGTGGGTCCCGCAGATTTTTTATCTCTACAACATGAGATTTCAATTCTCCTTCAACATGAGAATTATAAAACCCTATATATTAACTATTGTATGGCATGGCATATAAAAGTTGGGAGAAAACAAATATATATTACTGATTAATTATACAGATTTATTTTGAACAAGAACTTTTAATTATTATTAAATTTAACAATAATAGTTATATATAAATCATTGCTCATCAGTCTGTGCTTTTTAATTTACATTAGAATTAAAATTTCAATAAAAATTATTTTTAAATTAATCAAAGCTATAAAGTAAAAAATTCAAAAGTATTTTACGACAAGTTTAACCATAAAGAGAAAAACGTGTTTATTTCCAAAAAAAAACAAAAAAAAAAACGTGTTTATAATTTTTCTTTTTTATGTATGCACATTTTATTCATTACTATGAATGTGAAACTGATATATTATTATCATTAACTATAAAGAGGGATTGAACCGGTTTAGAACAATTCAATTAATTTTCGCATATTATTATTATCATTCGATAGATTTAATTTATAATGTAAAACAGATGGAATCCAATATAATCTAATTCACTTTAAACAAGTTTTTCATTTTTTTTTTGTTAAAATATCTTGTAATATGATTTCAAATTCCAAATATATATATTTTATATATATATATATATATATATATATATATATATATTATCATATTGTAAGAAATAATTTTATTTCATACACACACATAAAATATGTGAAGCCCATATTTTTTTTTTATCTCTTCTTTTTATATGTCCTCACATATTTTTATGCATATATTATCTCCTAAAACATAAGAAATATTAATTCATATATATATTCAAATTCTAAAACATAAATAAATACAAATTTTTTTTTTTTAATTTTTTTTAACACATATTATGTAATCTCTATATAAATTGTTGTAAGTTGAGATACGCCTCCAGAACACGTACATCATCTTTAATTTTTTGTCTTTGTTAGTTGTATTGGAAATTGACACTGCATCGTCTCCCTTGTATTGTCTTTATTTGATTATTATTAGTCGAAACACAATGGAGGAGTAATTTATTAAAAATACCCGAAAAATGCTAAAAATTCCAAAGCACATTAAATAATCTACATGTTTATATGCTTAATAATCCTAATATCTGCATTATTGTTTCATACATTGCAGGTGTAATATTTTCACAAGTTTTGACTGTTGTAATGGAGTAACTACTGGTTTATTTGTTTATTCTCCACAAAAATAGGTGCATTTCAAATTTCTCAAGAATGTAATAGTTCTTTTTTTACAGGCTGTTGAAGCTACTAAGAATGTTGAGCTAGGTAACAAAGAACTCTCACAAGCCATTAAGAAGAATAGCAGCGCAGGAGGTTCCTTTTACTATTTTTGTTTGTGCTTACTTTTTCGATCCTCTTTCTTGATTGGTACAGTTAAATGGCGTTGGTTTGCTGCTATCACAGCGTATCTTCTTATAGCTCCCTCTCTAATTTTTTCCGATTATTGTTGATATTTGTGTTTTTCCACTAGGAAAGCATCTTTTTCTAGATGCGATAACAGTAATATTTACTCGAGAGGGACAAATGTGGATATATCAAATGATTTGACTAATCAGTTTATGAAGGGAATGATACAAGAGACTTGGAGATGTTAAAGATTTCGTCTCCTTTCATTGCCACATTCTTTTGAAGTGAAGTTTTATTTGAGGATCTCCACTTATGTTTTTCACTCCTATATACTTATCACATACATACATAGCAATCCATTTGCTGCCTTCAAGAGAATTATAAAAAGTTCTCGCTATAAGATATCCATAAAACATGTTCCAAATGGCCATTTCTATACCGCCCAATGACTTGATCCCAACCCTTCTCCCTACCTACATGTCAGTCTTACCAACCCTCCATACATTCTGCCCCCAAGGTGACTGCACCTCCTAGGTGTGGCGCGGCACCGCGCCGTTTCTCTGGCCTCTGTACTGGTAAGTGGCGCGGGTTTGCGCCAGTGTGGCGCTAAGTTGCGCCATTTCTCTGGTCCTTGTACTGAGGTTTTTTTTTTTTTTTTTTTAATGTAAAGACAAACTCTACATTGGGTTGCCTTCCAATAAGCGCGTGTTTGATGTCTCGAGCTTGATGGTTACCTTTTTATGTACCAATAGAATTAAGATATTGCGCCACAGTATTTTGTGCACAAGCCCTCCATGATAGAATTTCAACCTTGAACCATTCACCTTGAAAGGTCTCTTCATCCAGTGGTGATATTTCTATTGTACCATAAGGAAAAACCGTTTTCACCACATAAGGACCAGACCATCTTGATTTTAATTTACCTGGAAACAACCTCAGGCGATAATTATACAGCAACACCTGTTGGCCAGGTTCGAACTCCTTGTGAATGATCCTGCTATCATGCCACTTCTTTGTTTTCTCCTTGTAGATTCTGGCACTCTCATATGCAGAACTTCTGAACTCATCAAGCTCACTTAATTGAATCTATCTTTTCTCAAGAGCTTTTGTTGGATCAAAATTTAGAAACTTGATAGCCCAAAAGCTCTATTCTCTAACTCCACAGGTAAATGGCAAGATTTTCCAAATACCGATTGATAAGGTGACATACCAATAGGAGTCTTAAAAGCAGTCCTGTATGCCCATAGTGCATCATCCAACCTCTTAGACCAATCTTTCATAGAATTTCCAACAGTCTTTTCAAGAATCCGCTTCAATTCTCTGTTAGAAACCTCTACTTGGCCACTGGTTGGTGTATTTATGTTTAACACCATATTTAGCCAGTAAATTATCAAACTGCTTGTTACAGAAATGAGTACCTCCATCACTTATTATGGCCCTAGGTACACCAAACCTTGTGAAGATATTCTTCCTCAAGAAATTCACAACCACCTTGGCATCATTAGAAGGAAGAGACACAACCTCCACCCACTTAGACACATAGTCAACAGCAACAAGAATGTACTGGTTGGAATAAGATGAGGGAAATGGTCCCATGAAATCTATTCCCTACACATCAAAAAGTTCTACCTCTAATATGCTATTCGGAGGCATTTCATCCTTGCGGGAAATATTTCCAGCTCTTTGACATTTGTCACACCTTCCTATGTTCAGCCTACTCAAGAAAGGAACAACTTTCCAGTGGACTGAAGAGTGTGAAAAAGCCTTTCAAGAGTTCACAAGAGCCCTATCATGCCCGCGAGTCCTCACCAAGCCAGAGAATGGCGAGACCCTATACCTATATCTTGCCGTGGGCGTAGAAGCTATAAGTGCAGCCCTAGTCAGAGAGCACAAGGACGAAGGACAGAGACCAGTTTACTTCACTAGCAAAGTCTTTCAAGGAGCAGAACTCCGGTACCAATAAGTGGAAAAAGTTGCCCTTACACTTATCTTCGCCGTGCGAAGGTTAAGGTCATACTTCCAGTGTCACCCAATTGTAGTCAGGACCAACCAACCTATTCGCCAGGTCCTACATAGGCCTGACCTCGCCGGACGAATGATGTCTTGGGCGATTGAGCTATTAGAATATCAAATCAGTTATGAACCAAGGACCGCCATTAAAGCCCAAGCCCTCGCTGACTTCATAGCAGAGATAACACACAGCCCCCAGCCTGATAATCAAACCACTGAAGCCCCACCACCAGCAGGGTGGAAGCTATACGTCGATGGCTCCTCCAACGCCAAAGGCTCTGGTTCCGGGATGATAATAGAAAACCCAGATGGGTTGGCGATTGAACACTCTTTGTCCTTCAATTTCAATACTACCAACAATCAAGCTGAGTATGAAGCCATGATAGCCGGTTTGATCCAGGCCAAAGAGTTGGGAGCCCGACGTCTCAAAGTCTTCAGCGATTCTCAGTTGGTGACCTTTCAAATATCAGGAGAATATCAAGCCAAAGGCCCATTGATGTGAATATTAGGCGATCAAAGTGGAGCATATTAGGCGATCAGAGAATACCCGGGCTGACATCCTCGCCAAATTAGCGAGCACAAAGAACCCAGGTAACAATCGCTCCGTCATTTAACATTATTTGCCTAAACCATGCATCGTCATGAGCATTTCATACACAACAGCTGAAATCGCCGAAGAGACTTGGATCACACCTATTGTCAATTAAATGTATGAAGGAACCCTCCCACCTGATCAGAAGGAAGCCAAAAAAGTGGTGCGGAGAAGCGCACATTTCTGCATGATACAATGAGGTTTATACAAAAGAGGGTGTTCAACCCCACTCTTGAAATGCCTAAACCCCAGTAACGTGGAGTACGTCCTAGAAGAAATCCATGAAGGGATTAATGGCCATCACATGGGCGGGCACTCACTGGCAAAGAAAGCACTCAAAGCGGGCTTTTATTGGCCAACCATGGAGCGGGACGCCCACGGACATGTCAAAAAATGCGAAAAATGCCAAAGGTTTGCTGACATACATAAAGCCCGATCGAAAGAATTGACTTTGATAATGTCCCCCTGGCCTTTCTACAAGTGGGGAATGGACATACTAGGCCCCTTCCCCGTGGTGGTTGGCCGAGTTCAATGGATGATTGTCCTGTCCTGCTCTCTGCGAGTTCTTGAAGGTTCCACCCTCCGATCTTGCTCATGCCTCGCGGGACCAGTTTCTCGTGTAGGATTGTTGTATCTTTTGGAAGCTCCTCCCTTGATCAACTCATCAATTTCTTCTTTGAGTGATCGACACTCTTCGGTGCTATGGCCGTTATTGCAGTGGAATTTGCAGTATATGGTGGGTTCTCTGGTTGCTTCATGGTGTTGGGGATTGGTCTTGTGCTCATCTTTGTAGTCATTTTGCATCACATTGTGCGGTTGATGTGGAGAAGACCCTCGGCCTATAAGGCGGGAAGTGTATCTGGAAGGGGGTTTAGCTGTCTTTATCTCTTCTTCATCTGGATCTTTGTTTTCGTTAGCCCTCTTCTCACGGTTGTTGGTGTCATCTGACCGCCTTCCTTTGTATTCTTCTATCCTCATGAACTCCTGAGCTTTTTTCTTCTCTCCTTCTAAGTCAGTTATTTCATGGAGAGCTAGTTCATATAGCTCAGTCCTCATGTTGTATTCTCTTAACCTGTCGAACACGCTCTGAAGGTGGTGCAAGAGGTGTTGTCAGGTGATCGTGACTTGGTGATCATGTCATCAATGTAAACTTCAATGATGTCACCAATCAACTCTTTGAATACCTTGTTCATCATCCTCTGGTAAGTGGCGCCGACATTTTTATTCCAAAAGGCATCATGCTATAGAAATAGTTGGCGTTCTGAATGATGAACGCTGTTTTATCTTTATCTTCTTCAAGCAACGAGATCTGATTGTCGCCATAATATGCATCCATGAAGAAGAGCATTTTGAACCTGGAGGCATCATGCTATAGAAATAGTTGGCGTTCTGAATGATGAACGCTGTTTTATCTTTATCTTCTTCAAGCAACGAGATCTGATTGTAGCCAGAATATGCATCCATGAAGGAGAGCATTTTGAACCTGGAGGCATTGTCTACCAGCTGGTCAATTCTTGGGAAATGGTAAGCATCTTTTGGGGCATACTTTGTTCAAGTCGGTGTAATCAACACACATTCTCCACGCCTCACTAGGTTTTTTCACCAACACCGGGTTAGATAGCCAGGTTGTGTATTTGATTTCCCTAATGAAACCGGTGTCGTGGAGCCTTTTAACTTCTTCATCGATAATCTTTTGGCGGACAGGGCCAAACTTCCTTTTTTTTCTGGGCGACGGGTTTCGCCTTTGGGTCAACAGACAACCTATGGAAACATATTTCAGGGTCAATTCCTGGCATATCAGATGGTTTTCATGCGAACAGGTCCCTATTGTCACACACCAGTTTTATCAATTTGCATTTCACATCTGGTTCTATGGTCGTGCCAATTATTGTTGTTGGGTGGTCAGTGTCGCCTAGAAAAGAATCGTCAGTTGGCAACCTCTTCACGGCGTGGTTTATCATAAACTCAGTCTGACTCTTTAACCGACCACAATTGCCATTCGTCGTCATGGGCACCGCCCTCAGTCAAATCAAAATTACCCTATGACCGATAAGAGACGCCCAAAACAGATGAGTTTGTGAAATAAGAAATGGTAGTCACCACATTTGCGTCCACCCAATTCCTCGCCGCAAAACGTTCATGAGTTTGGTCACCCGCTATATGTCGCAAAGAAAGTATCCACCACCAAAACTTGGGAGGAGGGACAAATACACAGTCAAACGCCAAACATGGCAACCGATATAAAGAGAAGACAACAAAGCCACCCCAAGACGTCAATCCCAACACCTCTACTCTGCCTAACACTCACCCCCTAAACCACCAACACCCTCCCTCATTAAAAAACACAAACCAAGTATAATTCAAACACATGGCGAACTCACCTAAAGAATTAGAGGATTCAAAAGAACTGGATGATATCACCGAAGATCTGGGGCTTTACAAGGTGCCACCCCGTGGTGGCCTTCCCCCCTCAGCTACTCGGACTTCTATACCTCCAGTTCTTCTGAATCCTCTCATTCTTCAGGTGAGTCTGCCATGTGTTTGAACTATACTTGGTTTGCATTTTTTAGTAAGGGAGGGCGTTGGTGGTTTAGGGGGTGAGTGTTGGGCGGAGTGGAGGGGTTGCGATTGACTTCTTGGGGTGGC